TCTACAAAGTTACAATGTACAGTCTGATCACTGAGGGAGGAGACTGAGGAAATGCCTCCTCCTCCTTCTACAAAGTTACAATGTACAGTTTGATCACTGAGGGAGGAGACTGAGGAAATGACCCCTCCTCCTTCTACAAAGATACATTGTACAGTCTCATCACTGAGGACGGGGAGACTGAGGAAATGCCGCCTCCTCCTACTTCTACAAAGTTACAATGTACAGTCTGATCACTGGGGGAGGAGACTGAGGAAATGCCTCCTCCTGCTTGCAGCAGACGGATGACATCATTTCAGCCTAGGCAGAGTCAGTGTCTGGATCTCCGGGACGGCTTTGGTTGCCGATTTCCTCCTGCAGACGAGGGAATGATGGAGGCGGGGCTCGGCACAGAAATAAATGCGTTTTCCTGAACGTTCCGTTGTTTTTCTGTACATACACAATGGGAAGACAAATCCCAAGGAGTCCCCTCCCCCACCACGGACAGCTGCCAGGGCGATGTTCTACAAGCCTGAGTGGCGTAACGCGGCGTGACGCGCACAGAGAGCGAGTATTGATCCATTAGCACGCCGTCTCATCCTACCTGTTCATCTCCTCCAGGCAGTCTGTCGCAAAGAAGAAGCTCTTGATCTTCGGATGACACGCTTTGAAGGCGCTGCGGAGGAAACACAAAACGGTTCTCATTCTCAACGTTCAAAAGGAATCTTCAAAGTTTTCTACACGACGACATCTCATTGGCTGCAGCATCGCAGGTGACCTTGTCATTGTACCGGGTCATGTGACCCCCTAAGATGAAGACCCCCAAGCTGTCCCGGGGGCCGTCACAGAGTTCTTTCTATAGGAAGCCCCCAACAATGGCCCGGTGATCCCGCCAATTCCCTTCCAATCTACACCCAGAAAGAGCAAAAGCAGCTCAGTGCTGCCCCGCCCCTGCACTACTGAATAACAGCAGCCACACCCCTCCCCGCCCCTGCGCTACTGAACGGCAGCCACACCCCTCCCCCGCCCCTGCGCTACTGAAAAACAGCAGCCACACCCCTCCCCCGCCCCTGCGCTACTGAATAACAGCAGCCACACCCCTCCCCCGCGCTACTGAATAACAGCAGCCACACCCCTGCCTCGCCCCTGCGCTACTGAACAGCAGCCACACCCCCTGCCCCGCCCCTGCACTACTGAATACCAGCAGTCACACCCCTGCCCAGCCCCTGCGCTACTGAATAACAGCAGCCACATCCCTGCCCTGTGCTACTGAATAACAGAAGCAACACCCCTGCCCAGCCCCTGCACTACTGAACAGCAGCCACACCCCTGCCCAGCCCCTGCACTACTGAACAGCAGCCACACCCCTGCCCAGCCCCTGTACTACTGAACAGCAGCCACACCCCTGCGCTACTGAATAACAGCAGCCACACCCCTGCCTCGCCCCTGCGCTACTGAACAGCAGCCACACCCCTGCCCCGCCCCTGCACTACTGAATACCAGCAGCCACACCCCTGCCCAGCCCCTGCGCTACTGAATAACAGCAGCCACATCCCTGCCCTGTGCTACTGAATAACAGAAGCAACACCCCTGCCCAGCCCCTGCACTACTGAACAGCAGCCACACCCCTGCCCAGCCCCTGTACTACTGAACAGCAGCCACACCCCTGCACTACTGAATAACAGCAGCGACACCCCTGCCCAGCCCCTGTACTACTGAACAGCAGCCACACCCCTGCGCTACTGAACAACAGCAACCACACCCCTGCCCAGCCCCTGCGCTGCTGAATAACAGCAGCCACACCCCTGCCCCTGCCCATGCGCCACTGAATAACAGCCACACCCCTGCCCAGCCCCTGTACTACTGAATAACAGTAGCCACATCCTTGCCCAGCCCCTGCGCTACTGAACAGCAGCCACACCCCTGCCCAGCCCCTGCTCTACTGAGTAACGGCAGCCACACCCTTGCCCAGCCCCTGCGCTACTGAATAACAACAGCCACACCCCTGCCCAGCCCTGCGCTACTGAATAACAGCCGCCACACCCCCTGCCCAGCCCCTCTGCTACTGAATAACAACAGCCACACCCCTGCCCAGCCCTGCTGAATAACCGCAGCCTCACCCCCATGTAGCCCTGCTCTGCTGAATGACAGCGGCCACACCCAGCCCTGCTGAATGACAATGGCCACCCCTCCCCCCCAGCCTTGCTCTGCTGAATGACAGTGGCCACACCCCCGCGGAGGCCACATTCTCTGTATATACTGCTGATATAATCCTTGCACACTGTAACGAAACCGGAACCCAGACCGCACTGAGTTTTTCCGTTATAGCACAACTTCCCCTGTCCGAACACCATCCACGGACCACACCCTGAAATCCCTCAGGAAAAAGACAGCACCCAGCTCTTCTTAAGACAGAAAGCCAACTCTTTATTTTAACACAAAACACAGAATATATACAGAGGGCGGGGAAACACAACCAGGAACAGGAAACACCTCATCAGCCCGCCCTATCAGTGGGAAGGGCTACAGGGAACCACCCCAACCAACCCAAGACACAGAACAATGGGATGAAACACATGGCAAAGGATATTGACCAACCCCCACACCAATACACAAACAGTACATCCCATAATAGTTGTCTGGACAGGAAGGCACAGCACCATGGGGGGGAGCACATGGCAAACAAACAATGGACAGCCATGTGGCCTAGACAAAGGAACACACAAATACACAAGACTGGGACATTCACATACACACCCTGTACCCTTAAACAGGCACAGGGGGGGTTAAACATAATGATTTGGGGAGATGATACAGGGGTCCCCCCACCCCCAAAAGTCGCTCCCGTCACACACACTCACAATAGAGACTGAGACTGCACCTCCCCCTCCTGGATGGTAATCTACAGATCAATATATAGATCCCGAATCTCAATGATATCAGTTATCTCCTGTAATTATGTCTCCGCCCCCTTCCCATCCCCCATCCCGCTGAGGGACGTCCCTGCACCCTGCTGTATGCGGGTGATGGAAGCAGCAGAACGTCTGTCTACTTACTGTTTCCTCCGGCATTCAATGGCGCGATCTATCCTGAATTCTGGGAGGCTGATGAACCCCTCCGCCTTCTCATCCTGCAAATAGGAAATAGATTGTCAGCTCTCCGGTCCATGGGGGGCTGATCCCTGCCTGTCAGAGTGGCCGGGGACACACCCGGGGGCACTGTCTGTGCTATCTCAGCAACCAATCAGATGGCTGTAGTGGACCTCTTCTCACATGACATCAGACAGATGTCTTCAGTTTTGTCAGGAAATACCTACAGTCCGATCGATGTTTATAAACAATGTTACTTTGTATCTCCATCTCCCGTCTGATCGATGTTTATAAACAATGTTACTTTGTATCTCCATCTCCCGTCTGATCGATGTTTATAAACAATGTTACTTTGTATCTCTCCATCTCCCGTCTGATCGATGTTTATAAACAATGTTACTTTGTATCTCCATCTCCCGTCTGATCGATGTTTATAAACAATGTTACTTTGTATCTCTATCTCCCGTCTGATCGATGTTTATAAACAATGTTACTTTGTATCTCCATCTCCCGTCTGATCGATGTTTATAAACAATGTTACTTTGTATCTCTCTCTCCCGTCTGATCGATGTTTATAAACAATGTTACTTTGTATCTCCATCTCCCGTCTGATCGATGATTATAAACAATGTTACTTTGTATCTCCATCTCCCGTCTGATCGATGTTTATAAACAATGTTACTTTGTATCTCTCTACCTCCCGTCTGATCGATGTTTATAAACAATGTTACTTTGTATCTCTCTCTCCCCATCTGATCGATGTTTATAAACAATGATACTTTGTATCTCTCCATCTCCCGTCTGATCGATGTTTATAAACAATGTTCTTTGTATCTCTCCACCTCCCGTCTGATCGATGTTTATAAACAATGTTACTTTGTATCTCTCCATCTCCCGTCTGATCAATGTTTATAAACAATGTTACTTTGTATCTCTATCTCCCATCTGATCGATGTTTATAAACAATGTTACTTTGTATCTCTCCATCTCCCATCTGATCGATGTTTATAAACAATGTTACTTTGTATCTCTCCATCTCCCGTCTGATCGATGTTTATAAACAATGTTACTTTGTATCTCTATCTCCCATCTGATCGATGTTTATAAACAATGTTACTTTGTATCTCTCTATCTCCCGTCTGATCGATGTTTATAAACAATGTTACTTTGTATCTCTCCATCTCCCGTCTGATCGATGTTTATAAAACAATGTTACTTTGTATCTCTATCTCCCGTCTGATCGATGTTTATAAACAATGTTACTTTGTATCTCTCCATCTCCCGTCTGATCGATGTTTATAAACAATGTTACTTTGTATCTCTATCTCCCGTCTGATCGATGTTTATAAACAATGTTACTTTGTATCTCTCCATCTCCCGTCTGATCGATGTTTATAAACAATGATACTTTGTATCTCTCTATCTCCCATCTGATCGATGTTTATAAACAATGATACTTTGTATCTCTCTATCTCCCATCTGATCGATGTTTTATAAACAATGTTACTTTGTATCTCTCCATCTCCCGTCTGATCGATGTTTATAAACAATGTTACTTTGTATCTCTCTATCTCCCATCTGATCGATGTTTATAAACAATGATACTTTGTATCTCTCTATCTCCCGTCTGATCGATGTTTATAAACAATGTTACTTTGTATCTCTCTATCTCCCGTCTGATCGATGTTTATAAACAATGTTACTTTGTATCTCTCTGGGCATTTCTCTCTGAAGAGCGCTTTGCATTGGGCTGATCACACTTCAGATTGCATTTAGCAGGCATTTAGGAGGTATTGTATCTCCCCCTCTTGAACCCACAACAGAGCACGGCACACACATGCATTTGGGGCGACTTACGTTCTGGTTGGTGTACCAGTAGAGGGCGGAGTCCTTCAGGATGAACCAATACTTCTTCCATTTCTGGGTGAAGTATCCCTTGGCGTCCTTCTTCTTCCACAGCCATCCCTCACAGTCGCCGTGTCCGAGGTCCTTACAGGAAATTCTCCGTCTGCTGCCGCTGGTCAGCGACCCGCCTGTCACAACCAGAGAAAACCTCAAAGTCCATGCCGCATGTCTCTCCTTTCATGTCAGTTATGAAGAAGACATTTTTAGGCCCCTCCCCCCGGGCGGTCCCTATACCCGGTATTCATCTGTCCGTTTACGGATGAAAAACAGACCCCCGTGTATTTCTATGGAGTAGCGGATGTAAACGCATGAACATCTTTTTACATCCGTTAATGTCCGCATCTGTTAACATCCGCAAAACAACCCCCAGAATGGATGAAAAGTGGATGTTGACGGATGTAAATGGACCAAAACCGTGTGTAAACGGATGAAAATGGATAAAAACGAACCAAAAACAGATGTAAATGGATGAAAACAGATGTAAACGGATGAAAAATGGATGTAAACCAATGTAAATGGATGAAAAAAAAACGGATGTAAACGGGTGAAAAACGGATGTAAATGGATGTAAACGGATGAAAAACGGATGTAAATAGATGTAAATGGATGAAAAAACTGGATGTAAACGGATGAAAAATGGATGTAAACCAATGTAAATGGATGAAAGTAAACGGATGAAAAACTGATGTAAATGGATGTTAACTGGATGTAAACGGATAAAAAAACTGGATGTAAACGGATGAAAACAGATGTAAATGGTTAAAAACGAACCAAAAACAGATGTAAATGGATGAAAAATGGATGTAAACCAATGTAAATGGATGAAAAAAACGGAAGTAAACGAATGAAAAACTGATGTAAATGGATGTTAACTGGATGCAAACGAATGAAAATGGATGTTAACTGGATGTAAACGGATGAAAAAAAACTGATGTAAATGGAGGAAAACAGATGTAAATGGATAAAAATGAACCAAAAACAGATGTAAATGGATGAAAATAGATGTTAACTGAATGTAAACGGATGAAAAAAATGGATGAAAAAAACATGTAAATGGACCGTAAACAGAGCAAAAATGGATGTAAACGGATGAAAAACAAATGAAAATGGACCAAAAACTGATGTAAACGGATGAAAAATGGATGTAAACCAATGTAAAGGAATGAAAAAAAAAAACAGATGTAAATGGATTTAAACAAATGTAAACGGATGAAAAAATTTAAGTAAATGGACCAAAAACAGATGTAAACGGATAAAAGATGGATGTAAACGGATGAAAAAACTGATGAAAATGGACCAAAAATGGATGTAAAACAGACCAAAAATGGATGAAAAAATGGATGTAAACCAATGTAAACGGATGAAAAACGTATGTAAATGGATGTTAACCAATGTAAACGGATGAAAAACGTATGTAAATGGATGTTAACCAATGTAAACGGATGAAAAAAACTGATGAAAAAAGAGATATAAATGGACCAAAAATGGATGTAAATGGACCAAAAATGGATGCAAATGGACCAAAAACAGATGTAAACAGATGAAAACAAAATGAAAATGGATGTAAATGGATGAAAAATGGGTGTCAGTGGACCAGGAACGGATGTAAACGAATGAAAAACAGCTGTAAACACCCCCCCCCCCCCCCCCCATGGGAGAGATGACTAAAAATTGAAGGATTTAGAGTTCCTCATATTTCTTACACAAAAAAGACAAAAAAATCCAAAAAATCGCCCCGCTCTGTAATGGCCGTTCACACCGCGGCATCAGAAAACCCGCCATGCGTTTTCCTCCAAGCGTATGAGCGTTTAGCGCGTTTTTCATGGATTGCGTCCAAATGTAACGTGACGCAAGGTGTGATTGACGCGTTCGTTGTCACCGGCCTCCATTTGCTGGAAATATGGACATGTGACTTGCGGAACACTTTGATTAAAGCGCATTTTGTGTTTTCCGTGCGTCACCACCGCCTGTAATGCAACTCTCCTATTCCCCAAAAAGTAACAAAAACAGCAATGCCCCGCCCCCATGCCCCCGCCCTCATGCCCCCCCCCCCAATGCAGCGCACTGAACAGAAGAGCTCCATCGATTATAATGGGAACTTCTTTTCATGCGATTTCTGCGATCCTGCATTGCAGCGCACACATGCGACGGCGGCTCCTGAGAACATCAATAACAGTTTTCAGAGTTTTACCTTTTGATCTTTTTTTGGTTTTGACCCTCAGAGATGCGTAATGGAAAGTCTGGAAGAGAAGAGAGAGCATTGGAGGGGTGAGAAGGCGAGCTGCCGCGACATTTCCATCAACATGACAACAGATTGCACACAGAAAGGGAACGGATGACGCGGCTCATACGCATGGAGTGGTGGGCGTAACAGCCTGGGATCAGGTGACATGCACCCTGTTCATTCTGAGTCTGCTTATCTTACAACACGCTTTGGCAGATTGCTCAATGTTGGGGAGGGGGTTCTGCCGGGGCCCCTGTATGTTCCTGCTGGCATTATACTGACACCAAGGAGAGGCCATCACCCTGAGACACTGATCCAGTCTGGACGACCTCACCAAACTACAAAATGAGAAAAGGAAAGGGGCGCACGAGCCCTGCGCATCACCGCAATAAAAACTAATAAATTGTAGCAAACAGACATATCGTGACCGGCAATAGTCCAGGGTCTGAAATGGGGCCCACAAGCCACAGGACGCTTGAGAACGACTGACGCGTTTCGAGGAGCGGAATCCTCTTCATCAGAGCCTATCAGATCGGCTCCGTACACTGAGCATGGAGAGGCTTCGGATTGATGACGGGAGGTGATGGATGCCACTCCTGGGATAGATGGGACTTGTAGTTCCACAACAGCTGGGGTCCCAGGATGCCTCCCCCCCCCCCCGCATCACACATTCATTGGTCGTGCCTGGCGCAGATGGGAGGTTCACATCTAAAAGGAGGAGAAGTGGATCTTACATGAAACGTCTGGACTGGGAGATCTCAGCGTGGCCTCTGACTGTCATTTCTAGGATTCCATTCCGAACCCTCACCGGTGTTGTCACGCCGGGGTTGTCAGCGGGGGACGCCGGGGTTGTCAGAGGAAGACGCCGAGGTTGTCAGAGGGAGACGCCGGGGTTGTCAGCGGGAGACGCCGGGGTTGTCAGCGGGGGACGCCGGGGTTGTCAGAGGAAGATGCCAGGGTTGTCAGCGGGGGACGCCGGGGTTGTCAGAGGAAGATGCCAGGGTTGTCAGCGGGGGATGCCGGGGTTGTCAAATTAAGACGCCGGGGTTGTCAGCGGGGGACGCCGGGGTTGTCAAATTAAGACGCCGGGGTTGTCAGCGGGAGACGCCGGGGTTGTCAGAGGAAGACGCCGGGGTTGTCAGAGGAAGACGCCGGGGTTGTCAGAGGAAGACGCCGGGGTTGTCAGCGGGGGACGCCGGGGTTCTCAGCGGGGGACGCCGGGGTTCTCAGCGGGAGACGCCGGGGTTGTCAGCGGGGGACGCCGGGGTTGTCAGAGGAAGACGCCGGGGTTGGCAGCGGGGGACGCCGGGGTTGTCAGCGGGAGACGCCGGGGTTGTCAGAGGAAGACGCCGGGGTTGTCAGCGGGGGACGCCGGGGTTCTCAGCGGGGGACGCCGGGGTTGTCAGCGGGAGACGCCGGGGTTGTCAGCGGGGGACGCCGGGGTTGTCAGAGGAAGACGCCGGGGTTGGCAGCGGGGGACGCCGGGGTTGTCAGCGGGGGACGCCGGGGTTGTCAGCGGGAGACGCCGGGGTTGTCAGCGGGGGACGCCGGGGTTGTCAGAGGAAGACGCCGGGGTTGGCAGCGGGGGACGCCGGGGTTGTCAGCGGGAGACGCCGGGGTTGTCAGAGGAAGACGCCGGGGTTGTCAGCGGGGGACGCCGGGGTTGTCAGCGGGGGACACCGGGGTTGTCAGCGGGAGACGCCGGGGTTGTCAGCGGGAGACTGAGAGAGTTCAGAAGTAGAGTGCGCTTGTCATCATTTTGTCCATTCCGCCGTCCCGTGACTTCAGGGGCAATGGCGTGTTATCCTGCAAACTGTCCTCATTCTCATCACAAACTCCGGGCTGTTATGGTCTGATGATTGTACACAGCAGACACACATGTACCAACGATGGGGCAACATTCTTCCCCTGACACCAACAACAGAGCACTATTCCCCCCCGCTGACACCAACAATGGGGCACTATTCCTCCTCTGACACCAACAATGGGACAACATTCTTTCCCCTGGCACCAACAATGTGGCACTATTCCCCCCACTGACACCAACCACGGGGCCCCATTCCTGCCCTGACACCAACAATGTGGCACTATTCCCCCCACTGACACCAACCACAGGGCCCCATTCCTCCCCTGACACCAACAATTGGGCATTGCTCCTCCCCTGACACCAACACTGCTCCTCCCCTGACACCAACAATTGGGCACTGCTCCTTCCCTGACACCAACACTGCTCCTCCCTCTCCTAGTCTGAGCTCTGCTATACAGAGACTGCGTGATGCCATCAGATCCCGGGACTCAGATGGCTCCTCTTAGCATTGTGTTGATGAGTTTGGCTCTCAGGGGCGTCCCTAGGATTGGTGTCACCCGGCGTGCACCCCCCGCCACTGATGGCACCGCATTCATTTCTGTCTTTAGTGTCACATTCGTTACCATTTTTTTTGGCCACACCCCCCCTCCCCCCCGCGGTCCTCCAGCAGTCCTGGAAATGGATTGTTCTGCTCTGACATCCACATCTGGCTGCATCTACACGTCTGTTCCCGACATTCCCGACTCTGGCGCTCCATGAGAAGCAACAAGAAATTGGGAAGAAAGTCCGGAGAAGCGGAGAAATGCGGATCTGGTGAGTCCGGCTCATTACAGCAGCTCCTCCTTCAGTCATTAGAGCAAACAATAAAGGAGCGCCTTTCATTACGGATACGGCTTCCTTCTCCGGACTCCTCCAACTACCAGGCCTTCGCTCAGCGTCGCCCTTCATTACGGATACGGCTTCCTTCTCCGGACTCCTCCAATTACCAGGCCGTCACTCAGCGTCGCCTTTCATTACGGATACGACTTCCTTCTCCGGACTCCTCCAACTACCAGGCCTTCGCTCAGCGTCGCCCTTCATTACGGATACGGCTTCCTTCTCCGGACTCCTCCAATTACCAGGCCTTCGCTCAGCGTCACCCTTCATTACGGATACGGCTTCCTTCTCCGGACTCCTCCAACTACCAGGCCTTCGCTCAGCGTCGCCCTTCATTACGGATACGGCTTCCTTCTCCGGACTCCTCCAAACTACCAGGCCTTCGCTCAGCGTCGCCCTTCATTACGGATACGGCTTCCTTCTCCGGACTCCTCCAATTACCAGGCCGTCACTCAGCGTCGCCTTTCATTACGGATACGACTTCCTTCTCCGGACTCCTCCAACTACCAGGCCTTCGCTCAGCGTCGCCCTTCATTACGGATACGGCTTCCTTCTCCGGACTCCTCCAATTACCAGGCCTTCGCTCAGCGTCACCCTTCATTACGGATACGGCTTCCTTCTCCGGACTCCTCCAACTACCAGGCCTTCGCTCAGCGTCGCCCTTCATTACGGATACGGCTTCCTTCTCCGGACTCCTCCAACTACCAGGCCTTCGCTCAGCGTCGCCCATCATTACGGATACGGCTTCCTTCTCCGGACTCCTCCAACTACCAGGCCTTCGCTCAGCGTCGCCCTTCATTACGGATACGGCTTCCTTCTCCGGACTCCTCCAACTACCAGGCCTTCGCTCAGCGTCGCCTTTCATTACGGATACGGCTTCCTTCTCCGGACTCCTCCAACTACCAGGCCTTCGCTCAGCGTCGCCCTTCATTACGGATACGGCTTCCTTCTCCGGACTCCTCCAACTACCAGGCCTTCGCTCAGCGTCGCCCATCATTACGGATACGGCTTCCTTCTCCGGACTCCTCCAACTACCAGGCCTTCGCTCAGCGTCGCCCTTCATTACGGATACGGCTTCCTTCTCCGGACTCCTCCAACTACCAGGCCTTCGCTCAGCGTCGCCCTTCATTACGGATACGGCTTCCTTCTCCGGACTCCTCCAACTACCAGGCCTTCGCTCAGCGTCGCCCTTCATTACGGATACGACTTCCTTCTCCGGACTCCTCTAATTACCAGGCCGTTGCTCAGCGTCGGGGGACTGGAAGCCATTTATGAAGGTGGTCATGGAGGGCCCAACGCAGAGGACTGTCGCCTCCTATTGACCCGGGCCTCTTCACATACACTCGCTGCAGCCTCCTGGTGGACTTACCGCCGTCTCTGGGACGAATGTTTTAATTATGAGGTGCGTTATGACGTGTCGGAGGACTGCGGGTGTCTCATGGCTTTGCAGCTTGGTTGTGAGCTCACAGCGTTTTGGAGGCCAAAGTCTGAAGAGCTCAACATACAGATGAAAGACATAGGAGAGCCACCAAAGGGTTTGAAGTTGTGACCTACCAGAGAGCACAGCCAGGCTGATGTTTGCTTTACTGCAGTCATAGCTCGGTCACCGCCCCTCCCCTCCCTGCCTGTGATTGGACAGTGAAGGAGAAGCAGCAGGCTGATGAGGCATCTGCTCTCTCCTCCTATAAGACCATGCACCTGATTGGCTCCTGGTGACGCTCCTCTATGTCCCAGGATACCGAGCAGAATTCAGTCGCTGTCACTTGTTGCATTTAAAAACGCATCCATACTATTCAGGGGCGGACTGACAACTCATGGGGCCCCCGGGAAATAGGGGATCATGGGGCCCCCGGGCAATAGGGGATCGTGGGGCCCCTGTGTCCTTGCCCACACTCATAGCACACCCAAAAAAGCCTATGAAAAGGTACCAGGGGCATTTTATGGGGCCCCCTACTGACCCCGGGCCCTCGGGCAGTGCCTTGAATGGTCAGTCCGCCCCTGATACTATTGCATCCTGGCAACACAAGGTGTCGGGTGTTGTGGTGATGTTCATTCCCGTTGGCACCTCAATGCAATGTTCCAACAGCCATTAGCACACCTTGCAGGACTGTCCTCACTTCCTGATATGACCCTGTAAATGCTGCACTCCCGTGTCACATACATGTGCATTGCATGCAGTTGCAGCGTGGCTCGTAGTCTTGCATTGGTGGAACTCGGGTGGCAGTAACACCCGTTGAATGCAGCATGCTGTTTCATTTTTGCAAAGGCTTTGACGTATGTACAGCCCTAGGTGGTTGGGGGCGGTAAAACTGCAGCTCAACCACCTAGTTTTA